AGACTGATGAATAAGCCATCACAACAAACATCCTGCCCTTTCTGCAGAGTGAGATCTTGGCCCAGGGCATCTCCAAGGGCTCTGTCAGGGAGACAGGGGCTTGGCCAATGGAGTCATTATGCTCAGCTCTGACCATCAAGGAGAGAACCTGGTCTACTCTTGACCTGGAATGCTCGAGGCTACACTGCCACTCCCTGCTCACACCAGGGTATTTCAGGAGGACAGATGTCCTGTGTGTAAAGCCTAGAACCAGAATATAACAACAGAGCCTGAGAGGACAAGATGTGCCTCAGCTCCTGCTCCCAGCCTCCCAGTCACACCACTGTCTCAAGGGTGGGTGAGCTGGCCTCAGCCGATGATGAGGACCCTTGCCCTCATCTGGCCCATGCTTTCCTGTGGTTGGCCTGAGAAATGGAATTTTCCCAAGGAAGAGGAAACTATCCAACACAAGGAATTTGAGTTTTGAGACTGAAGGCCACATCAGGAAAGGCATGCATTCACCAAATGGTGGCACTTTCCTTTGAGGGCCCCTGAGACATGGTTCGTGATTACAACTGTGGACAATTACTGAGCACTCTTTGTCTGATACCATGCAAGGCAGCTCCATGTATATTCATATCATCTTCATTTCCTAATGACATAGTGAGTTAGGTGCTATTACCCATATGAAGAATTGAAGCACAGAGAGGTGAAGATGCTGGACCAGAGGTGGGATTCTAACCCAGGTATATGACCACCAGGAATAACAGATCCATGCACACTCACTCAGGTCTGCCCAAAACCCATGTCCACCAGCTTTGTTTAGGCCACATTCTGGACCTCACCCTGTAACCAGACAGGACCTATTTTCTTGGGATACTGCACAAAAATGCACAGAGTCTCACTGCAGCTCACTGAGCCAGGCCCAGCCAGGAAACAAAACCCTTTCTAGGTTTCCCTGTTGCCTCTGTCTGGGCCAAAGCTGCTGCTTTCCTGGAAACAATGACCCCAGGGCATAACAGTGTCCTCATTTAGGAATTGGGCACTGGCTGACTTTTTTAACTTTTTTGGTGAGCTCCTACATAAAGTTCTTAACCCTCTCAGTCCCAGACAAGCCGGACAGTTGGTCATCACAGCAAGAGAGCCAGGTGGATGCACACACACCACCTTCCAGAATTCAGCCAACATTAGCGAGGCACAGAGTATCTGCAGGGGCCGAGGGGACTGTGGTCAGAGTACAGGGCTCCCACCCTAGGGCTCTGGCTGGCTCATGACCTTGGGAAAAGCACACAGCTCCATAGGTTTCAGTCTTCCTAACCGACACCTAAGGACATTCTCATTCGGTGGAGATCTGGTGACCTCATCCACTGTGTGTCACCATGGCAGTGCCAAGTGCACTACCTCTTAGAGAAGCAACTGTGCAAAATACGGCAACTCACAGAAATGTTCACATCCTTTCACACACTTTTCACCTCTCTTGGGATTTATCAGTTCCAAGGTGCTACCCCAAGGGAAATAGAAAAGTTCTCTGCAGAAACATGTGCACTGCAGGACTGTTTATCATGGAAGAAACCTCAGTGCTGAAACAAGGAGGGAGCGGTGAACCAGGGATGCTGCATCACTAGCAGGGATCATGTGCTGCAGTCCTTGGAAAGGTCTGCAGGGGCTTGTGTCCATTCAAACCAGCATGGGGAAGACAGGAGACAAAGCTCCTTGCTGTGATGGGAACATGAAGAGGTGCTGCTACAGAGAAAGACTCATGAGACAGGGAAAGATGGTAATGATAGTTGCACTGCTTGGAGAGATGAGAGGTAAATTCTTCTGCATTTCATCAGGTGGTGTACACCACTGTGGTATTATTTTTCTTGAAAAATAGAAACAATTTTTACAATGGAACCTCATTTCTGGAACTTTATTTGTTTTGGAAGGCTGTTTGAGAAGCAATTTCTTGGAAAACTAAATACACCTAAGAGATGTGTAAGCGATTATACAGGTATCAACAGGAAAGGGCTATTGCATTGAGAACCAAAGTTTCCTTTGACATCCGAGACATTTTTACTCTGAAGTATTTGTTTAAAAACCTAATTGCTCTATATGGAAATGTTTGAGAAGTGAGGTTTGAGAAAACTTAAGTAGCAATCTCCACAGCCCCTCCTGTGATCGACATCAATCAGCAATATTCCCATTGGTGCTCACTCACACTGAGGGCCTGTGAGCCTTCCTGGATGTCCTACAGTTGCTCAAAAACTTCCTGCATTACAGCAGTTGCCATACAATGCAGTGATGGAGCCAGGACCTCTGACATGTGGGCCAGTGACTCTCCTATTACTAGTCTTCATCCCTCAAGCTCTCTCTCATTGTGTCAATGTTTGCATGTGGTGCATTGGTCATAGACCTTGGCTGCAATCAAAGAAAACAACACTGGCTGACTTAGGCAGATAGGGAGTACATTGAATAGCTCACAGGCATAGCAAATGATAAGGCAACCAGTCCTAAAGAAAAAAGGTGGAGGGGGGGGGTCCCACCAAGATGGAGGCATAGGTAGAAAACCTTCACTTCCTTGCACAACCAAAAGGAGGATAACAGCCAATCTAAAATCAATAAACAAACAGAAGTGCCACAAAATCAAACTGCATGGACCTTTGACAACAAAGGAATTAAAGAAACAGTCTACCAGACTGGTAGGAGAGAGACAGAGAGACAGTCAGATGGGTGGATGGAGAGAACCTGGGGCAAGGCAGCAGACCTGTGGGTGGGGCTGGCTGAACAGGAAACTGAGACTCAAAGCTGACTGTGGACTATGGCAGGGGTTGCCACATTGGGAGAAACCCCCAGTCTCACACAAGAGTTTGTTGGAAAGTGTGGCTAGAGCCCAGCAAGCAAGATGCATTGTTCCCTCTCTGGCCCCTCCCCCACAGACAGTGCCACAACACAGCAAAGAGGGTTGTCCTGCCCTGGTGAATACTTAAGACCCTCCCCCTTACAACTTAACAGCCAAAACAAAGATATATGGCCCAAATGAAAGAACAGAGCAAAACTCCAAGAAGAGAGCTAAGTGATGAGGAGATAGCCAACCTATCTGACGTGGAATTCAAAACATTGGTAATCAAGATGCTTACAGAACTCCCTAAGCTTGGTTGAAAAATGAAAGAACAAATGAAGACTGTCCAAAGTGAAATAAGGCAAAACATTCAGGGAACCAGCACTGAAGGGAAGGAAACCAGGACTCAAATCAACAATTTGGAACAAAAGGAAGAAATAAACAGCCAACTGGAACAGAATGAAGAAATAAAAATTCAAAAAAAGTGAAGAGAAGCTTAGGAACCTCTGGGACAACTTTAAACCTTCCAATATCTGAATTATAGTGGTGCCAGAAGGAAAAGAACAAGCGTAAGAAATTGAAAACTTAGTTGAACAAATAGTGAAGGAGAACTTCCCCAATCTGGCAAAGGAAATAGACTTCCAGGAAGTCCAGGAAGCCCAGAGAGTCCAAAAGTAATTGGACCCAAAGAGGAACACACCAAGGCACACCATCATTAAGTTACCCAAGATTAAAGATAAAGAGAGAATCTTAAATGCAGCAAGAGAAAAGGAGACAGTTATGTACAAAGGAGTGCCCACAAGACTATCAGCTGATTTCTCAAAAGAAATCTTACAGGCAAGAAGGGGCTGGAAAGAAATATTCGAAGTCACAAAAAGCAAGGACCTATATCCAAGATGATTCTATCCAGCAAAGCTATCATTTAGAATGAAAGGGCAGATAAAGTGCTTCCCAGATAAGGTCAAATTAAAGGAATTCATCATCACCAACCCCTTATTATATGAAATGTTAAAGGCATTTATCTAAGAAATTGAAGAAGATCAAAAACTATGAACAGTAAAATGACGACAAACTCACAATTATCAACAACTAAACCAAAAAAAAAAACAATGAAAACAAATACTAAGCAAACAACTAGGACAGAAACAGAATCAGAGAAATGGAGATCACATGGAGGGTTTTCAAGGGGGATGGGGAGGGAAAGAATAGGGGAGAAAGGTACAGGGAATAAAAAGCATAAATGGTAGGCATAAAATAGACAAGGGGGTTAAAAATGGTATAGGAAACAGACAACTCAAAGAACTTATATTTACAACACACGAACATGAACTAAGGGTGGGGGGAATGCTGAAGGGTTGGGGTGCAGGGGGGAGGAGGGATAAAGGGGGAAAATTGGAAAAACTGTAATAGCATAATCAATAAAACATACTTTTTAAAAAAAGAAAAGGTATATAAAAAGGACAAAAAAAGGGCAATAACCAAAAATGCTGAGAAGTCAAGGTTGTCACAAGTAAAATGGGGAGACATCTGCTGCAGACACAGCCCCTGCAGATCCCTCCTGCCACGGTGACTCCAGGACTCTTGAATCCATGGCTGCTGTCAAAAGAACCTCTGTCCTTTTACCTGTGTGTTACCACCTCTAGATCAAGGTCCTGGTTAAAATCACCCACTTAGTCCAGTCCTGGTCACACACCTGTGTCATTTTTTCATGGTGGCTGCAGCTTCCCAAGTGGAAGACCAAAAGTGAGTCCTGTCAAGACCCACACAATGAGGGCGAAGGAGGTTCTTCCACAAAGAGAAGGATCTGAAGGGTTCATGACAAACACTCCACAAAGGTACACTACCCATACACTCCATTTCCCACTGTACTTTCTGCTTACTGTTCTCTACCTGTGAGAAGTCTGGCCTACAAGCTGCACCTAACAGACCTCATTGTTACAGAATCCAGCACAGGTAACCATGGGGCAATATGTTTCCCACATCCAAGACCAGGGATTGAGTGTAGGTTTTTATTGAGGGTCTATCAGAGGTGTTCCCTCTCTAGAGAACCTGTACCAGCAGCTATAATATGTCCAGTAGGCTCTCCTAGCTGGTTTCCTCTTGGAGGACACTGAGCCTGCACCTGAGGACCACACCTCCCCTGCAGAGCTTGACTCCATGAGGGCATTAAATCCTTGTTTCTCAAATTCATTCTTTTCAGGAAAAAATATGAACATGTCCTGGTTCCAAGTGGCCAACATGAAAGAGGAGGGGATAGTCCTGGAGAAACCAGCCAGGGTGGAGCTCCACTATGTAGTCCTGGAGAACCCCAGCTTCTCCCCCATTGGAGTTCTACTGAGAATTATCTACACTGCCCTGCCCATTCCCATTGCCTCCAATGTGCTGCTCTACCATCAGCTCCAGCATGAGGAAATGACCTTCCACCTCTACCTGATTTCCAACAACTGCTCCATTTGCAAGGTGGCACCAAACCAGAAAGGCTGGGCCAGGATGGGCTGACAGAGACATGATTGACACCCAGACAGCCCCCTCAATGGGTCAGCTGGGCATAAGGATCAACCTATTAACAAGGAAAATTTAAAGAGATGAGTAATCCTACCTCTTCCTAGCCATGGACTGGTCTCCTGGGCCCCTAAGGCCTCCCTCAGCCAGGTTCACTGCTCCCTCACTCACCATGGACACATCACTCACATTTCACCAGCCTCTTTCCAGGGTCAGAGGTTCGGAGGGTTCAATACCCAGGGCTGTTCCTTTCTTCCATTCTCACTTCTTTCCCAGTCTTGTTCCAGTCCTGCTGTGACCATGGCAGAGACAAAACCTGGGGCTCCTCCATTAGTAGTCAACAGAAGAGGGTGCAGGTAACCAAGGCATTAATATGCCATGGAGGATATAGCCTCCTTCATACACAGAAACTTGTGGAAGCACCACCTCACTTTGCTCAGACAGGATTCCACAGGGCAGAATCTCTGAGCCAGATCCAGACCATCCTCCCTGATCAGTGTTCTCTGTGCTCCTCAGGCCATAGGTGATAAAGAAAGGAAGTTCCAATTTGTGCGACTACACAAGCCACCTCCGCTGAGCTCGCTCTACATGGGCTCCCGATACACCGTGTTTGCTTCACAGGAGATGGTAATAATCCCTCAGGTGAGCAGCCCCAATGTTCCCCCTCCCTGAGGTCAGAGGCTATGCTTGGGAATAGCTCTGGGGCAGGTCTCAGGGCTTTCCCAAGACAGGCCCAGCTGGGGTACGGCTGACAGCAAGTGGGGTTTGGGGTGAGAGAGAAGGCTTCAAAGATTGGGAGAAAGACAGCTGGTAGGAGTGAGGGTCACATTCAGGACAAGGACAAGAACAGGGTGGACTTAGGGGAACTGAGAAGGGTTGGATTCCAGAGAGTCAATGCTCTCCAAGTACAAGCATCAGGAACATACCTGTAGTGAACACACCATGAGTAGTGATCACAGCCTGAGAACACACACCAGTGGGAACCTTGGGCCTCTCAGGACAGGGTCTCAGAAAGAACCTATTTCTGATTTGGGATGTGGCTGGGTAACCTGGGAGAAGATCCAAGGAAATGGAGGTTTGCTCTTGATCTGCTGTTGTCAGAGGGCAGGGAAATTCAGTCGTTGGGAACCTCAGTGACTTTGTCTCTGGGGAGGGCAGACTCAGCCAGCACAAACCATAATTTATGAAGCAGCAGTCGCAAATGCAGAGGGGTGGGATTGTGTTTGTCATTTTGTGGGCTGCACAGCACCCTGTCTAAAGGGACACTCGGAGATTCTGTGTCCAACAGGAGGACAGCACAGCTGAGGTGGCAGCACAGATGCGTTTGTAACAACACTGAGGTTCAGCTGTGAGCATCAGACCAGCTCCTGGACCTCAGGGTCTGCCTTTGTCCTCTCTCGGTCTCCCCTTCTCACCAGAGGCAGAGGCGGTCTGGACACTGGACACTCAGCTGTGATATCCCCATTTTCACCACAACCGAAACTATGCTACTCAGGGTCAGAGCATCCATGAAGGACAGTCTGTAGTGGAACCAATGTCGATCTTTTGCCTTCTGTTCCCAGATGAGTCCTCAAACTCTCCTAAGTAGGATGGCAGATGCAGTGGATGTGCAGTGGTCAGGAGGGAGTGATGTGTGTCCTTCCAGTGGGGACACATAAATCCAAGGATGAATACCCTACATTTTCCTGCTGTGTTAGTTTTTAACAAGGGAGGAGAGACATGACTCAGTCATTCAACAAACATTTACCCACTGCCAACTACATGCTAGCTGCAGTTGGGACTGAACAAGACAGAGAAGGCCCTGCTATTGGGATGATGACACTCTGGTGGGTTGAGACCTATATAAATAATTAAAGAAATAGAGACCACAAACATAAAGCACTGTGGGAAAACACACCAGGCCATGTGAGTGGTCTGTGGAGGTTTCTCTGAGAAGGCCCCATCTGAGCTGAGACCTGAGAGACAAGAAGGGTTCTGGTGGGGTGACATCTATGACAGAGCCCTACAGGAACAGAAGTAGAGAGGGTCAGGCACCCTTGACACATCCAAGTGACAAATTGGAGGTCAGTGTAGCAGGGCTCAAAGACTGCAGCAAAGAGAGTAGGTGGATGGGGTCACACAACAGACAGAGCTTTCCTGGGGCCCATCGACCATGTTGCCCTGGTGTGGAGTTTGGATTCTGTTCCAAGTGCAATGACAGTGTCTTACAGGGTCTGACTTGTAATGTGAGAGCTGATTTAGTTTCATGCAGATGCCTCTGGCTGCTGGGTAAGAATGGGTGGTAAGAAGTTAGGAGTGAAAATAGAAAGACAAGTCAAAAGGCTATTGCTACAGGGCAGGCAGGAGCTGATGGAGGCTTGACTAGGGACATAGCAGTGGAGAGAAAAGTAGGAGGTAAAAATGATGCCTAAGTGTGGAACATGAGTGCTCAGTGGGTGGTGGTGTCATTTACTGAGCATGAGAAATGGGGAGGGAGCATATTAGAAATACATTTAGGAATCCAAAGTTTGTGTGAATGTGATTTAAAAAAGGGAATGGATGTAAATTTTCTCTTGGTTGAAAGTGGGTCAAATTTAAGATCCACTGAGAAGACAGGCTGTGGCAGCTAGAGAAATGATTTGGTCAAGATGGGGGAGGAGGAGGGAGAAGGATCTGGTTTAGGATGTATGAGCACTACACTGTATATGAGTCCTGACTCATCCATGGGGCACCAGCTGTGTCCTCTTTCTTCTGGATCAGAATTTGTGGAAAAGGAGGGAAAGAGCAAAGCCTGAAGTGGTGATTAATTTCAGTACAGATCATCCAAGGGTGCCCATGGGGCTGAACAGGGCCAAGAAGGTGTCAGGTGGAGAGACCTCAGGATGAATGGTGGCTTCTCACATGATGACTCCTTCCACAGGAACTGGAGCTCTCCTATCAGAGTCCTGGGAATGCCCAGCTCTTCTCTGAGTTACACGTTGGGCATTTGAGGTCAAAGATCAGCCTGTACCTAAGACAGAAGGAAGGTGGAACTCCAGTATGGGAGGCCTTGGTGAAATCAGGTAAAGTCAAGACAAGTGAAGGGAACTCAGAAAGTCAGTTATAGAATGTGTGTGTGTGTGTGTGTGAGAGAGAGAGAGAGACAGAGACAGAGACAGAGAGAAGGTCTGTATTATTACAACTTGTGATGAGATAGCCCAGAGAAGTTAAAATTTTAGTTACATGACAATAGCATGACCAGAATTTGAACTGAAGTTAATCCAGCTCTGAACTCCATTCCCCCTCCCATGCACCTTCATGTCTCCACACTGCCCTGTGTTAACACAGTTTGATACCCATAAAGCCTTGGGCAAATTTTCTCATAATGAATTGGATGCAAGTTGAAAGAATAAGAATGGGATGATAATATGATTGTATGAATTAAGCCAAGTTTGGCAAGAGCAGATACTCTACCCTGGGTCCTTAAGCTTCCTTAGGGTAGACAAGAATTAAATAATAAATTTTCAGAAATGAATGAGACTTTAAAGTCTTCAAATGACCACTGACTCCCCCAAGAATGTCCCCTAAACATCCCTTGAAGGGACAGCTAACGCTTGTCACTGTTGAAATAAGTTGGATCTGCCTCCTGGGCTGCCACCACAGCTTCCCGGCATGGAGAAAGGGGATAGGTTTTACTCAGTCTCACTTGGGCACAATCACAGGAGTGCATAACCAGCCCCAGCATCAGACCTCGGTTTGAACCCTACTCAGGAACTTATTAGCTGGGTGATTTTGGAAAATTACTTAACTCATTTGAGTCTCCACTTTCTTGTTTATAAAATGAAGATTGTAATACCTAACTTGTATTATTGCAGAAAAAAATAAAGTACTGATGTATTGAATATGTTACCTCATGCAGCAATCCTTCATAAACATAAAAATATTGTTATTTTCTCTCATAGTAATCCAGTCTCTTCCTTCTTTCAGAGTTAATTCTGGCCCTTAGAACTGACAGAGGTTCTATCTCCATCCCAACAGAAAAGCCTTTTGGATATCTGTACCAGGGGTGTCAAGCTCAATTTCACCAGGGGCCACATCAGCCTCATGGTTGCCTTCAAAAGGCCGAATGTAATTTTAAGACTGCATGAATGTAACTACCCCTTAACAGTGAAGCGAGAGCTCAGCGCTGCCACTGGGTGGAAACAAGGTGCCGGGCAGATAAAACAAGGTGGAGGGTCGGATTTGGCCCTCAGGCCTTGTGTTTGCCACCTGTGCTGTAGACTGATTGTGACCTCCCTTAACTCTCTTACTATGCAAGTTAAACATCTTTAGTCCTGCCCACCATTCCTTTTATATTTTGGCTTTTCAAAACTGCCATCTCAGTCACCTTGCTCAGCAGATGTGCCCATTTGAGGATGAGTCAGGATGGACTCTAAGAACATCCAGTCAGCATGGAGGATATGGAACTCCCCCTCCCTCCATCCACAGGGACCTGGTGCTCCCAGCACCACAGCAGGAGCTCCCCTGTGCTTGAGCTCACCTCCCAGACTGTCCGCTCACACGGAACTTGGGTGGCCCAAACTCTCAGGCCCTGTCTACAGGAGCTGCTGTGGACTTCCCCATCTTCTCCTTGTGCAAGTAATTGTACTGCTCTTTACTCCTCGTTACTGTTGTTGGTTTTGTCAATTAAAATTAACACATTACTTCCAAGGCTAAGATTTTCTTGATCGTGATTCTTGATTCTGACATCAAAATCCAAAATTAACAGAGTGAGTCTAGTGAGTGGGTAGGGGGGAGAGTAATGGGGAGACAGGAAATGGGGACAACTGTAATTGAACAAAGATTAAAAAAAAAACAATGTGAGTCTAGAAGGCCAAAGACAAGGAGGTAGACTTCCACTCAGAAAAGGAGATCTCACTGTTGAAACTATCTACCAAGGACTCGGTTATTTCCGCACCAGGGTTCCATTCATGCCATCACTAAAGTACAACATGTCTGCAGTGTTCAGGTAGAAATTATTCCCTCCCTCTCTCTTTCTCTATCTTTCTTAGCATGGCCTCTGGGCCTCAATTTCCCCATATGCCTGAGCAATGGACTCACCTACAATCTTTCCCTAAATTCTGTTAGAATGAGTCTGTAGCTTGTTCTAAGAACCCAGTAATCTCAGCCGTGAGACACATGTCGCAGTTTAAAGGCTTCCTGTTTGTGTTAATAACTACCACTGTTACAGAAGCTTCTTCCTGTCTGTTTTCCTCCAGGAGACCTCAGACCTGAAGCTACTCTGGTCCCTGCACACCATACAGGTCAGTAGCAGCTGTTGGAGACCACAGGAGCCATGGCTGGTCTGGGGTGTGCTCTCTGCTCCTAGAGGGGAGGGAGAAGAGAAAGAAAGGGACTCTATCATTGCAGACTTTACAACAGACCAGGACTTGGAGAGTAGTATGTGCCCCAGGGCAGAGTCCTTCCCCATCCTCCTTATTCTTGCCCATGGAGACCTTGGCACCTTCCACAGAACAACCTGAAATGCCTCCATCATGAACCCAACCCCACACCCAGCTCCAGCAGAAGTCTCGGCTGGAAGCTGACATGAGGGGGGCAGAGGCATGGACCACGTGTCTGGTCGTCTATGTTTTCACAGGGTGGGGGTACCCAAGGAGGCAGAGAAGGTGAGTGCAGAGTTGGAGGTGACATATCAGAAGTAGAGGCTGTAGTGGAAGTTCTTCTTCATTTGCTACCAACCTCACATTCACCCGAAGGTGCCCCAGCTCAGCTGCACTTTGTGGACCGGCATCAGGAGCAGCTGGTGGCTCGAGTGACTTTGGTGGACCAAGTCCTGGACAAGCTATATGGACAAGTGCTGAACCATGAGCAGTATCAGAAGGTGCGGGCTGAGTGCACCAATCCAGATAAGATGAGGATGCTATTCAGCTTCAGCAGCTCCTGGAACAAGAACTGCAAAGATAAACTCTACCAAGCCCTGAAGGAGTCTGACCTTCACCTGATTATGGATATCTGGGAGGGGTGGGGCCATGGAGGAGAACCGGGAAGGCTCCTCACCTGACTGTGAGTCCTGACTCTCCTGACCAATCTTTGTATCTCTGTTTCTCCACCTCTAAACAAATTGCCCTCTGACCTGCCTTCTATTATGAAGTTATGGAACGTTGGTGATGCCTTTGCTGGGCATTACATGTCCATGTCCAAGATCGCCCCATAGGCACCCAGACTGCCTCCCTTGGCTTCCACAGACTAGTGGTCCAGGTGGGATGGCAACATCTCAGGAATGTGCATGTGCAGCTGACAGGACACCTGCAAACCTTATAGAAACCTCACCCATGCTCCCCATCCAGTGGCCGCCACAGCCAGGTTGAGAGCACTCTCTGTGCCATGGAGATACAGGGAGGATGAGGCAAAAATACAGCTGGTACCTCTGCTGGCGACACACCATAGAAATGGACACTTTGGGAGTTTTAAATGCCTTGTACATAGAGGTAAGAACATATATTTTTTATTTGTCAACGTTGAGCTTGGTATTTCTATTAGTTCAAGTCGTGCTTTGTGGTTGTTGAAGTTTAGGTGGATTCCTAGAGCCAGGAGAGGGTGAAGGAGGCCGCAGGGGGAATGGTGTCTAGGCCTCACTTCAATGACTTCTGCTGTACACAGTGATTCCATGTCCTTGCAGCTGGCTTAGGCACCACTGCCCATTGCTCCCGGAGGACCCTATGTCCCCCACCCCATCAGAACAGTCAGCACATGGCATTGTCCCGACTGCTTTTCTCCTGGTCTCTCCACACTAGATGGTAAGCATCCTGAGGACAGGAGCCATGTCTAAGCAGGTTATTGCCAGTGCCTAGGGCAGTCCCTGGCACACAGTGGGTGTTAAGTGAGGGTTTATGAATAGATAAATGATAAAGGGACATTCCCCAAATATATCCTTTAATTCCCTTCCTGGCCACTATACTGTTCATGGAATTCAAATACTCATCCCAGTAATAATTCCCCCATTAGTAGGCCATCCCCTTTGGCCCCAGTGAATCAGTAATCTTATAATTAAACCCGTTGGTGTTCAGTCATTTGCACCAATGTCTTTCTCAACTGGTGAGAGCAAAACTGCACTCAGTTTACCCCATTGCAATACACAGCAGCCCAAGTTTGTCAACCCTCCCTCCCCATTTTGTCCCCCTCCTCCCTCAGAATCACCTCTCCTCCCACTTACCTGGGCCTCACCCACTCTTTACCCTCCACCACACAGCCAAAGGTGTCCATTCTATGGCCTCCCCAACTGTGACGCTTGTTATGAGGGTTAAATGAGATACATGGATGAGCTTGGATCAGTGTTCAGCTCCAGCAGAGTACGTGATAAGCTGTAGGCATCATCTTCTGGTTTCACTGATCGCTGGGTGGGTGCAAATGTCAGCATATTCCAATCTTCTACAAGTACCCCAAAAAGAGAATTCAAAATGGGTTAGGGCACAAACATCAAAAAATATTAATAACATTAAAGAAGGGAAAGGACAACCCCTATAACAGCTGTCCTGACAGCTTCATGAACACGGGCACGGGAGCCACCTCGTAGACTCTTTGCTACGTTGCTCAGGCCATGTGCTCACATGTTCCACACATTTAGCTGACTCTTCGGACCTTCCTAGGACTGAGGGAGCTCCTGAACTTTGGATCAGAGTCTCGGAGATGTCCGCTAATAAAAGTGGGGTTTAGGGGGACACCTGTACTTGAAAAGGATGCTTTTATCCTGAGACTCAGGGAGCTGTGGCTGCTTTCTGGTCCCAGGTAGGATAAACCTGTGCAGAAGCAAAAATATCATGAGGACTCTGCACCCAAGACTCTGGCACTCCTCCTCCAAGGGCAAGGAAGCCGCACAATGAACTTGTTCTTTGAATGCAAACCAGACCAGCAGCCCTGTGGGCAGTTTTCTGCTGCATGTGGCAGGAATATGACTGCATTCTGAATTTGAAGTCCTCATGTTAAGAGACAAAAGATATGCCAGTATGTCACAGAGCTTGTTTCTTCATCAAACAGCCAGAGCCCTCCTGTAAGTGCGTGAGAAGCATGGAAGAACATTCTCAGGACAAACATATTTGCCTTGCACTGGGCATCACATTGCACAGGACAAAGCCCATGTATAAATTCTAGTTTACGTCATTCTCAAGGTCAAATCCAGATCCTCCTAAAGAAGCTCTGTTCTTCTCCACGGGGAGCTAATGGTGGGGCCTGGTTGCTCGGGGCCTGTCCAGACACTGTCCTCCAAAACACTGGGAGTTTTAACTCCCAGCTGGGGCTGTGATGGTTGTCGGAGCCACAGATTCACAGGGTCATGGCAGGCAGGGTGTCTGGATCAGCCTCCCCTTCCTGCCACGCCACCTCTGTTGAGGCAGGTCAGTGAGAACCTAGAAAAACTCCTTGACAGTGGAATGAGGGAAACAGAGAGAAAAGAGTTAAAGGAACAGCTGAGCAATTAAAGCCATATAAGAAATCACTTTTCTCTACCCTGCCTAACCAAAGCCACTTAGAAGCAGGTGGTCAACATCTCCCCTCCCCAACCAGACACTGGGTACCTTGAATCACCCTAGTCAGGAAGAGAGATAGCACAGACCCAGTGTGTGCCATTAGTACCAGTCAAACCCCAAAACGAATAAAACCAGAAGAGTTTAAAAAGTCCAATCAGAGTCAGACAAATGCAACACAGAGAGGAAGCTGAGCAGAGAATGACCCCATACCCCACTATTCCTCACTTTCGTGCATCAGCATATTACAGGACACACCTGGGAAGCTGATGAATGTTCTGATTGAGACCTCCCCTAAAACTCCCTTCTGCAGAAAAACATAAATACCCTCAAGACTAAAGATCCAGTGTGCACCCTTCACCTTCTACCACTTTTACTCAGGCACATAATTTTACATTCTTTCTCCAAAGCTCTGAAAACCTCCTCATGCCTAACTTTTCAGGGAGCCAAAAGCAGCCCCACCTGGGCTCCACACTGTTACCCTGACTTCCTTTCCTGAGTCTAGGCGGCCCAGTCTGGACTCACTGCTGTTACTGTGTCAGATCCTTGCATTAAGCCCTTCAGTTCACTGTTCCAAACTTTACTAAGCATACTCTCAAAATCACCTGTCTGGAATTCTTTCTGCACAAAGGCAAGAAACTACATCCCAAGCTGTGCCAGGACAGACCTGCTTCAGCCCTGTCCTGGTCCATTATTGATGACTTAAGAAGTGCCTGACTTTTGGGGCAACCCAAACTGCCCTCAACCATGGCTGAGGGTAGGAGGACAATTTCTGCAGCCCTGGGATGTATTCAAAGAGCAAGAGAACATCGGCACCCATGAAGCTGAAACCAGACAGGTGAGAACACTGAGGTTACAGTCTGCTAATGTGGCAACCCATCCCTATTCTATTCCATACGTACTGCATGTATAAATCATTTAAACTTAATGACAAGTCTGCATTACTCAGGGTTCTCCAGAGAAACACAACCAATAGGATGTGTGTATCCACAGAGGGAGATTCGGTTTAAGACATTGGCTCACACGATTATGAAGGCTGGCAGGTCCAACATCTGCAGGGTGGGCTTGCAGACTGAAGCCCAGGGTAGAGCTACCACAGCTGTTAGCTCACAGGATGCCCTGGAGCTCAGGGAATGTCAGTCTTTTGTTCTATTCCAGGATGTAGATGATCGCAGGGGGATGGGTACACTGTGGAAGGCAAGCTGCCCTACTGATTCCAATGCTACTAAAGTAAACATCACATTTAAACATTCATTTCAACTAAAAACACCCTCACAAAAACACCCAGAAACATGTTTGACCCACTATCTGGGCCCTGTGGCCCAGCCCAGCTGACATAAACTTACCATCACAAACCCTATGACAACAGGTACTAATACAGGGTGCAGCCAAGAGAAGGGCCCCAAATGGGGATTTGGAATGGGATCCAGAACTCAAGCTGTCTAGGAAATATTAGAAAGACACATAAGATGTCCTCACCCCTTACCCCCTACAGGTGTGAGTTGGAGGAAGGGACACATGGAGCAGAAACATGCAGGACTGTTTTGTACAGCCACAGCTTTGCAGCCAATCCAAGGCATGGTCGTTTAACATATCTATAGCCTTTGGCTGGTCGCTTAGATATGTTAAATAGTTGTGGCTATGCTCTGAGCCAGGGGGATGGAAGGAACTTCTCCCCAAGATGTAACTGGGGGACAGGTCCCCCAAGTGACAGCACCTGCGTGGGAGCTTGGAGAAGACTGGCTCCATGACATGGGGCCACCCCTGCCCAGACTCATGATGGCAGCCCAGTAAACTTGGAATAATACAGGAATGCTGACAGGTGTAACTGATTGTAGGAGGAGTCAGAAATGGGGGTACAGAGGAAGATTGGTGTGGGGATTTAAACCCAGACACAGCAGCCATTAGGAAGAGAGCCACGAGGTCTTGCCAGAGTGGGGACCCCCTCCCTGCAGCTTAGGTGGAGGGAGAGCCACACTCTACTGGCAGAGTGGGGAACCCCACAGCTCTGGTAGAAGAAGACCACGTGGCTTTGGGGTCTCCCTTTGGCCACGTGGCCTGGGAAGCAGGAAAGACTTTGCTTGGCAAAAGAGTGAAAGAACTCTTGCCAGTAGGCCATGAGAAGGTGCCACATGGCTTTGGATTAATTGGAGATCCTGCATGGATGGCGACACAGCTGACGGTGTTAGGAGCCTGGATCCAGGACATTTGCTTCTTTTCCTGAGATACTGTACCCTGAATTAGGGCAGGGGGAGAAGGAAGCACTGTGGGCATCTGTGGGTATCCAAAAGGACTTTGATATTTTAATGAAGACATTAGGCCACTACTTTAAGTCTATATAGCATTAAATAAACATTTCCTTTCCTTTCCTTTCCACAAATCTCTGGCATTGAGAGATGTCTTTCCAATAAAGCAAAGGACAATCAAGCTCAGAAGGAGGTCCTTTTGTTAGTAGTATACCGTCCTCAACCTCCCATGGCCCCTAGTGATCTGTAACACTACTAGGAATAGAACCAGGGACCTTACAGTCTGCAGGACGACA